TAAATGGCTGAATAGATCTCGATGAAATTTGGCATAAATGGGAAGTGGAGTTTGGAAGAACAACGTGATCTACTTACTTACCTCTGTTTTTCCCACGCGGACAAAATTTATAATATGTCATTATACTCATCACACACCTGGCACTGCAGAATTCCATTTACTCAAATACAAATATACTCTCCCACATGTACACTTACACACAAACACACCGTACATACAACACACATATACACATAGAAAGTTGAGGAGTTTTATTTGAGTTTTTTACTTTGGAATTAGTTGTTTTTTGTTTAATTATTTTATCTCAGTTGCTCTTTGCCGCTATTTAGTTTTTTTTTTCTCTTTAGATTGATAAATCTGTTTTGGTTATTAAGCTTATTTTATTATTACTAGTGTACAGCGACCTCCGACTATCTACGCTCCCTTTTACATCTTGGGAAGAGGGGTGGCTGAAAACCAGCTCGACACTGGACCTCAACCAGTATCGGTTAAGCTGAGCCTCCCCCTTTTGCCATTTGTTATAACTTTTTCGTGTATGTTTTTTATTTTGTACTACTCTGTGTATTCTTGGATGGCAATAAAGAGGTTTTTATTTCTATTTATTTATTTTTATTTATTTAAAGCCAGCGCCACACCATCCGTTACTGAAAAAAGTTATGACAATTCTAAAGCCGGCGTCACACCGTCCATTACTAAATAGACGGACTAGTTAGTTAAAAAACATATGCAACATTTTAACTGCACCTTCACTTATTGGAGAATTATTAAATGTTATGGTAAGTCAATCCACAATGAACCAGCATCGTATACCATGACCTAATTCGGGTAGACTTTAAAATAAAAAGAAATGTTAAATGACTTAATTGTGGTATTCTAATAGTAAGAGTGGGCACACCTTTGATTAAACAATCGCACAACTGTGTGCAATTATTGATTATTTCACAGCCAATTCAACTGTTCAGTTGCACAACTAATCAAGTAGTAGGTGCCTCTTCATATAAGCTCAGGAATCAAAGCGACTAAACAGTGCGGTATTAGTCAAACGTGTGCGTGCACTTGTACACTAAAATTTACTTCCGAAATAGCAGATTTTGAGAATAAAAAGTATTAATATGAAAACAAAAGAAAGTAGCTTACATTGTGTTCCAAGGGGCCATTTATATTTACGCAAGGTGATAATTAATCATGGCCCAATCTGACAGAACAAAGGTTCAGCCTTTATTCGGTCGGCGATAGGCTGGATACCCATGTTATTAGCTTACACATGTGCTGTGATGTCTGCAGAATTAATTTACTTGACTAATGTATTTAGAAATATTTTACATAATCTATTTATAGATATCTAGACAAACTTATCGATAAATATGCGTTAATATCAAAACTTTTCAAACTAAATTTCCGTTTTTTAATCTTTCCATAAAGGTTCTCTATATCTTCGCCTATATTTGCCAATTCTATCTGTTATCTGCCAGTTGAAAATGATGATTTAATTCCAATGGAGACGTTAGAAAGGATGGAATTTAACTGGAAAGAGAAAGCGTGATTAGCACCTGATTGCCCTTAAGATGGCATATCTGCACTTTCTTTTATATCGAGAATATCCACAGGTGACTTAACTATTGCCTCTTCAATAGGAACCTATTCTGTTATGTTTAGGAAGAAACCTGCAAACAGTGGTAACAGTGAATTCTTCATCGACGCATCGATGGCCGGCTTCTGAGAAAGTAATGGGCTCGCTACTTAAAGGTCTTGAAGGGCTTGAAGGTCTTATGGCCGGTTTCCCGGATACTTTTAACCATTCCTTAATGTTTTTGGTTCGATGACTTCATGAAATGCGTTTCCTAACTAAGTAACTTGAGTACTCCGTTGGTAAATGGAAACTTCAGCAACCAAGCATTAGTTTTATATCTTCAATGATATTTATAGGAACTTGTAGGACAAGGAGACACATAAATTTCAATAAAGTAAACAAAAACGAAAACCTAAACAAAATTAAACGTCATTCCGCTAAAGATTCCTATAAATTTCACCCACATTATCACAATGGTTGTCTGTGAAAGTGTCATTTTGTATAATTCATAGCCTTTTTCCGCACTGTTTTATCTGTTTACACAAATGTATCGCACAACACTGCGTCTATGGTATATAGTTGTATTATTGTGTATGTTTTCACGATATCCCTGCCCTTATCTCATACAAGTAAGGTCGTTTTTCGTCTGGATTAATCTGTTTTCTGTCATTTCACTCGTCAATTTTTAATCGACTTCAAGGAATCTATCTCTTTATAGACCCACCTCTGACCGTGTTTTGTTCACACACACATTCATTAAAGTTCTCTTCGTTACAAGCGATAATCTTACTAATATTATAAATGTGAATATAAGATGCATGGATGGATGGATGTTTGTTATAGTTTGTAGCCGGTTTAACGGATATGGATAAAATTTGGCATAGATCTAGAGCATAGTCTGGAGGAACACATAGGCTAACTTTTGTTTTTTTTAATTCCACGCGGACGGAGTCGCGGGCGAAGGCTAGTTGTCTTTATAACACAGACAAATTTTATTTGTCTGCTTTATGGTGAAAAAATATTTGAAATCGGCCCGATAGTTTTAGAATTATTCCAATAATTACAAAAATACAAATGTTTTCTCTTTATAGTATTAAAATACACTGGACTTGTGTTAAATAAAATCAGATTGTTGTCATTTCAATCATTTAATTCTCTTATTTACAATTTATCACAAACCAGCAGCCCTAATTGACTTTGGTACGTATACGTTATGTCTTACAAGTAATTTATCTACACTTACCACTGCACTCGGAGTCTTTAATGATGACTTAAGTTCCCTATCTAAGGATCCCTTTACAAAGGTTCCCTTTATTAAGGTTCTTTTAGTAACAATGTGACTCTGCGTTGCAGTTTTAAAATTATCTACATGTTACTCAATTTTAAAAATAATATTTTTAAGACTTTGGCATATATTACATGATTTTGTACATTTGTGGATGTTTTGACTAGAATAAAACTATTTTTTTTATTAGGAATGCATTAAATTCTGTTAAAGATGCATAAAAATATATGAAAAATGTTTTATACCTCTGACAATAATATTTCGAATAGGTTACTTCATTAAACAGAATAAATAGTAAAGTAAAAACCGCTATGTAAATAAAGTTTCCATTGATGTTTGTTTTGTGAATTACTTAACTCTAGGGCACTTCAAAGTTAAGTAAATATTTTTCTATTGGATTCGACAAATATTTGCTTAAAAGGTAAAAACCACGTAATTAAGTTTGCATTTCGAATGTGGTTATTCTACAAATATAACAGCTATTATAAAGAAAATAGTTCAAGATAGACAAAATATTCGTATAAATTACAGAGAAATATCTTCACAATATAACATCCTGTATAACTAACTATTCCAAACAACATGGAAAAAAGTGCAATAGGTATCTGAATTGTGCTTTGAGATTTTCTATTTAAAAACATCAATCTAACCGTAACATAAATAATACAACCGACTATCGTTGTATTCTGAACTTTATGCTATTACATTTTAGCGTTTATTTCGTTTGCATTTCTTGAAAGTAAGTCTCCAAAACGCTAGTCTAAAATCTGGCGAATAAAATGCATAAATAAAAGGATTGATTGCTGAATTAAACCATCCCAACCACGTTAGTATGTACATTAATACAGGATTTACATATTCTATAGATATAAACGGAGTTAAAATATAATATAAGAAAAATGGTAACCAACACGCGACGAAACCACCAACTACTAGACTTAAAGTTTGAGCTGTCTTTGTCTCCCTTCTTAAAGAAGATACTCTATTATTTTCAATATGATCTTTCATAGAATGATTTCTATGTCTACCGGTATTTTTATATTTAAAATTAGCTTTAAAAGTAACCTCATTGTAAAATCTAGATTCCCTTTCTTGGTTTAATTTGTAATTTTTCGATCTGGACTTCTTCGCGGCGTTGAAACAGCACGGACATTTAGGTTCAGTTTGTGTTGAAGATTCGCTTTGCTGAGTCGAATTCTTCGACGGCTGTTTAGATGCGCTTTGTCTCAAAGACAACTTGTCCGAACCTGAATCCGATTCAGATTTCACGCAGGACAGTTTTCCTTTCTAAAAAAAAACAAAGGATCATAAACAAGAATACTTTTTTTATCATATTTATAAAGGGGCACATCCAATTCTAAAATGAATTGCATCATTTAATGATCACTGAACGTTAGTTATGAATGTGGAGGGTACACAGGTATAAGTAGACCCAGAAAGAGATAGATGATCAACAAGGGAGTGATGACTGAGATGACAGATCATAAGAGTTATTTGAAGGACAAAAACCCAGTACGCCGACCCTTCGGGAGCATGATAAGGTAGCGGAGATGATGATGATTTTATGATCACCGAAACAATCTTTGTATCGTAGAGATTTTAATAAGATTAACAAGAAGAATTACCTTACTACATTTACTAGTGCTTGATAGCTGCTGATGTCTTCTTGCTACCACGCAAGATATTCTAGCATACACATACACCATCACAGCCATAGGTAAGAAGAATGAGCCCATAGCTGAGAAGACCACGTATCCCGGATTCTGATTGTACCGGCATACTCCTCCTTGATTATGATCAGGTTCATACCTGTTAATTATAACATGAATTAAATGTAACAAAAAAGAGAAGCTAAAACTAATTAAACTTACTTTTTATTTTACCACATATGCTGTAAATATTGAATGTGTCCGATTTTTTAAACATTAATTAGTTAGGATTGTAAGATAACCTACATTTATCTTTCTATTTCTTCGAAAATAAAGAGAAAACAATATTTGATGCATTTATATGCCACGGCCATATAATCTTTATTATGGACTAAGTATACAACAACAAACAAAACTTAACAATAGTATGTTAATATATTATAAGATAAATAAGCATTTTGTTGTGATATGTTCCAGCATAGACATATAAATTAAAATATAGTAAGCTAATTAGTACTAATAGATATTTACTTGTGCAACATTTATTAGCAACAGCTGATTATAACTCAAAATACAGTTTTTGGGCAAAATTATAACATTGTAAAACAATTTGAGATGGTACAAAACATAAATAAAACATTAACGATGTTATAATTGTTCTAATGTAACACACAACAATTCTAATATAAACACTTTTATAGCTGTGAAAATTTTTTTTTAATGTCATAAAAAATTACTTTAAAGTTCTGTTATAAAAAGTCAGCATTTGGAGGAGGCTTTTACCCTAAACGGGGTCCATACTTACTACACAATGTATACATATTATTTTGTACATTTATAAGTTATTTTCTGTATGGAATAAATAAAGCTAATAAAAAAAAAAGTATACAACAAATACAGCGTTACCTTAAACCATGGAGTTTTCTTGCAAGATACACCAAAAACTAATTAATGAATAATTAAATTATTTTTATTCTCACCATCCAAACATAGGCGGACAAGTAATCGCGCCAGCAGAAATCCACACAAAGAATATCATTGTAAGTGCCAGTTTCTTCGATCTTCGTCGTCTCGAATATGTCAGTGGCCGCGTAACTGCCAGATATCGATCGACACTGATCGCGCAGAGAGATAGAATCGATGCGGTGCATAACAGTATATCCAAGCTTATCCAAATGTCACATAGAATCCAACCCAGTTCCCATTTACCTGTGAACAAATGAATGCACAAGGGTTTGAAATCCCTGTCTCTTTGCTCTTGTCTTACATAAATGAAAATCAATATCTATACTTCCATACTAATATTACAAAAAATAGATGTGTAATTTTGTATTTATTGAAATAAATCAAAAACTACTGGGCCGATTTCAAAAATGTTTTGACAATTAAAAAGTTATGTTATCAGTGAATAACATATGCTTTATTTTTTGATTTCACGAGGGCGAAGCCGCAAGCAGCAGCTAGTACATAATAATGAGCAAATGCCTTTCTTTTGTCACCAAGATGAGAATGTGTGTAAATAGCAGATTTACATGAAGATGAAGAGAAAAAAGGTGTTAGTTAATAGTGATAAAAAGACACTGAACTCTAAGTCAGTAAATAAAGAATTTAGCAAATAGATAACAAGTAATAGAATGATTTTTTTCGGAGTAGAGAGAACCTTTTGTTCGGAGTATACTCACCAGTTATGTGAACTGCAATAGCTGGTGGCATTACAAATATGCCAACAAGAAGATCAGCAACCGCTAAACTGGTCACAAAACAATTAGTGACTGTTCTTAACCTCTTCGTAGTAACCACTGCTGATATTATCAAGGTGTTACCAATCACTGTTACTACTATTAATAGAAATAATATTATTACCACAGCTATTTCAAAATTATCATATTCATTTCCATTACAAATTAATTCTGTTACATCTGTATTATTAGTAATATTACAAATATCATTTGCCAATTTATTTTCATCTACATTTGTTACTATTTGGTAAACGTTTTTTGTTATATTGTAATTTTCTTCTGTATTTTCTATATATATTTCCGATCCTATATCTTGGGATTCGTTCCATTTTATATTTTCTATGATTTCAAAATCTGCTACGGATATCATGTGACTATTCTCTTCTTTTCGCAGTGTTATGTTGATTGAATGACATTTTCTGAAACAAGTTTTTGAGATTAACAAAGTTGATCTTTAAAAAGGTTCTATAAATATTTGATCGCACTACAAACATGAAAACAAACAAATCTATTTCATCTGATAGTAGATATTGTTTTAAAATGAAAAAACAAATGAAGATCACACCTATAAAATCTTTGTTTTTGTACCTCATGAACGACTGACCAACATGATTTTGAAATATCTGATCTATTTATAAAATCTAATATGTCATTAGTAAAGAACTAAATATGAATATAATAATGAACTAAATGTAAGCATGATCATCAGCCTTTGTCTGCCCATTGATGGAGATAGGCCTTCCCCAAGCCTTAGAACGCGGTCTTCCACCTTCCGCATCAAAATTCTCGCTGTACATCGATGTCGGGAGGACGCTGACTTCTATTCCCTATACTTATGTATATTTTTCATGAATTATTTTGAAATTTTGGTGAGGCATAATATGTCAATGTTAGAAGTATAAAACAGTCGTATATTCACAACACTACGGCGATAGAAGTACCAGGTTTGTGTTGTGTTTTGATATGACAACGAAAGTTATCTTTTAATAACGCTATGTGTTACAAAGTTCCAAGTCCGTATGTCTCCTTTATTATTCTATTCACGTTTGTGTCGTAAAAGTGAAATGAAGTCATGTTTCTAAATGAAATATGTCACACTGATGTGATTCTGTGTAACATTTCTAATCGCATTTACTTGTTAAAAAAAAACAAAAGACATTATCATAGCTTAGGTTACATTTCTTAGGGCTTCCTAAATAAAAAAGATTGTGTATGCGTTATTCCAATTATACATACTAATATTATAAAGTGCAAAGATTTTGTCTGTATTGAAATAACTCTTTTTAGTTATTTTACTACTTACTACTTGTATTGTGTGAAAGAGGATGTGCTTAAGAAAGGAGTGGATTCAGATATGACGGCTGATAGAGATGTATGGAAGAGCGGCACATACTTACTACTGGGACGATTTCAAAAAATCTTTCATCATTGAAAAGCAACGTTATCAGTGAATAGGATAGGCTATATTTCATTATTATTTTTTAATTACACGCAGACGAAGTCGCAAGCAACAGCTAGTGTTAACAAAATTGAATATATCGCAAAATGGCAAAGTGGAACCAACTTAGCTAGAAGCTTAATTCGTTGAATAAATTACCGTAAGTCATAATAATCTTACTATCTTATTGTTACTAAACTGCTGATTGGCTCTTGATGAAATTTGGCATAGATGTAGAGGATAATCTAGAAAAACACAAAGGCTGCTCATTATCTACGCTCCCTTTTACATCTTGGGAAGGAGGGGTGGCTGAAAACCAGCTCGACACTGGCTCTCAACCAGTAGCGGTTAAGCTGAGCCTCCGCCTTTTGCCGTCTATTACAAATTTTTCAGGTTTGTTTTTTACAACTCTGTATGTATTCTTGGATGGCAATAAATAGGTTTTTTATTTATTTATCTTATTAATTTATTTTATTTATTTATTACTGTTTAATTTTTATTACACGCAGACGGACTCGCGGGCGAAAGCTACTTTTCTTATAAAACAATAAGTCATTACCGGCATTTAATTCTCGTCATTTTCCTTGATTTAACAAATTTATGACAGGGCTGTATTTAACTACTCAAGTAAGGTTTTATCTCGACCACACAGCGGCCGTTAGATTAACCTTTATTAGGAAAAAAGTTACATTTTCTCAGGAAATGTTCAAATGAAAGTGAATCAACACGCAACAAAGTAATCATAGTCCTTAACCAAAATACATTTTGTATAACAAACTGACCTATTTTCTAATAGTTTGCGACAAATTGGCAACCATAATCAAACTGTTATCATGCCTAGAATGTTGAATTTCATGTTCAGAAATAAAAATTGTTATAAGAAAATGTTACTTGGTGATAACATAGCTATTCATTGGTGATACAATTTTTGAAATCGGCCCAGTAGTTTTTGAGTTATTTCAATACATACAAAAATATCTCTATAATATTAGTATAGAAGAACAAATTGTTAGGCAGCAAATTATGGTTAGGTTAGCAAAATTAGGCAATTACATACTAAGCTATAAATGAATTAGCTAAACTGAGAACCGTAAAGTATCACTGGTAGCTTAGATTTTAAGTAAATTTTTTCTCTTCATTTAGAACTAATGATTTGTGTAGCTCACCTTATAGGCGGTTTCCTAACTCGTTTTACCCATTCAATAGTGCTTATGGTTCGATAAATTCATACAATAGCATTCCGAACGACGTGGCATTACTTTTATTCCAGTGCAACTTAAGTTAACTAAAGCATATAAAATATTATTATGGGTTTTATTTATGTATTTTATTAATTATTTTTTAAGTAAGATTTATTATTACATAAGTATTTTTTTAGTATACATACATATATGAAATATGTTTATTTTATTTTACATTTAAAAGCCAACCAGACGGAGACAAAATAATTTTAAAAATAAAAATAAGTCGAAACTTCACAAACCCAGCATAATTGAGTTACGACGTTTTACGCAGGAGTCGTCTTAGCTTAAGATGCGAAATTTTACTTTGATATTTTAAATCCTTTGATCATTGGATATCCAAATACATCAAAGATTGATTGGCCGATCAGTTTAATAGACTTTATATTACATTGACAGCAACTTAATAAAAAAAATGATTAATTCTTTATCGGATGTTAAGGTCTGAGTATATCTGTTCTATCTGTAGAGTTTGTAGCCTAAACAGCTAAACGGATCTCGTTGAAATTTGGCATAGATATAGCGCATAGTCTGGAATAACGCAAAATCTACTTGCTTTTGTTTTTTTTTTTGTTTTAGTACAACGTGGACGTTGTCGCGAGCGAAAACTAGTTCGTAATGAAAAAAATTATCTATACTAATGTTATAATTGCGAAACGAAACACGACGACTTTAGTAAGTAAAAAACTTAGTGGTTATGCTCAATCCCGAGCGGAGGGAGTTGCGGGTTAATTTTAGTTTTTAATATATCCTATGTAATATCAAGGAATAAAGTACTCAGTTAAATTAAAGGTAGAGAACTCTGTTGAGTCGCATCAACTGATATTCCACAGTAAAAATGCAAATGTAAAATAATTCCCGAGGCCTAAGACGCATTACGAAGTAATTGGACCTTTCAGTCTTATCACTTACGAAATTACACTCTCGTTTTATATTAAAATACCTTGCAAATATATTACCATCCTTCTCATTTTCTTGGTTGAAATAGAGATAGCAAATTGTTCATGTCACGTTATACGAAATTCACTGTGTTAAGTTTACACTAACGTGCTACGCTGGCATTATATTTTCTCTAGACTCTTCCTGGTTATTTTCAATGATACTTATCTTTATACGTTCAACTCTCACGGTACGAATTTTATTGTACTTATCACTAAAAACCCTTTATGTATAAGATGTAGATTTAATCGATTTCTTCTTTATTTAACTCGATTTAAATTTTTATTGCATTAGTAATAATTGAAATAGACCCCCGATGGGTCCGAAACTTGTCAGTGCCGCCAACAGAAAAATAGACGCGAGTAATAACCGTTAAATAATTAGTTATAACTATGTCTCACGAAAGATTGAATAAATTAATTGAAATGATACTTTAGCATAACAAAGATGCATGTTTATTGTAATATACTTTTTTTTTTATAACATAAGGTGGCAAACGAGCAAGCGGCCACTAGAATCCGCCAAAATGGCGAAGCGACCGCTGCCCATAGACATCCGTAATTGCAGATGCGTTGCCTACCCTTAACTGACAGAGGAGGAGACGCACATAAAGAGGATATTTCCCCTTCCTATCGTCTAATCCACTTCCCCTTCCCAACCTCTCCTTATAAGAAAAGGGTGGTTAAGAGAAAGGGACTTAAATTAGGCCTTCGGCATCATCAGTACACACTACGGCACACTCATCAGACGAAACACGGAATTGCTTTCATTTCACGTCTGTCTTCTGTGTGGTCGTGGTATTGCACCGGGGGTGCCGGCCCATGTTAAAGCGGGAACTACCACTGTAATAATTTAGTATCCATATTGAGTAGCTGGATACTTCAAATGTATGAATCATTGCTAGATTGTAGACACGATCATAACCAACTAAATCTTAATAAGAAAAACCTAATTCTTAAAATATGAAGTAAAGAAAAAATCTTAAAGTCTTTCAAAGTAATCGCTTCCAAGACGATTATGGACCGTAACTTTATAAACGTTTTATAGGAGACGGTTCATTTAACAGACCGAAAAGTAGGGAGATATTTATAAAAAAAATGTCTTAAACTCTATTCGACTATAATCAAACTATGCTAATATTATAAAGAGGAAACATTTGTATTTTAGTATGTATTGGAATAACTGAAAAACTACTGAAATAATTACTAAAAATACTTTTACCATTATAATGTTAATTTATCGGTGAATAACATAGGCTTTATTTTTTATTATATTTTTTAATGCGGGCAAAGTTGCAAGCAATAGCTATTAAAGATGTAGGTCATTAAAAAAAACTATTGTAACAATAACACGTAGCATTTACATAGAAACCAGAACAGCTATTCGTAAATTATTTTATAATTACAAGTATTTTAATAATTTTATTTCATAAGGTGTGTATCTTTAAAATTAATTACACCGAAAAGCCTTAAAAATATGAATGATGAAACAAAAACATTGTGTTTTTTAATAATTCGAAAAGAATCAAGTTGCCTATCAGATTTATTTAATTATTTGTATTGCGTCTTTTTTAAGACCTTTTGGTTAAAGTGAACTTTTTAATATAAAAGCTTAGTTGACAAAGAAATTAAACATTCTCGGAATCGGCATTGAAATATATTTTCTATAAAATATAGGAACAAAGGTCGACTTAGTCTACATAATAAAAGGTACAATAATATTTTTTATGACGCTTAACTGTTTCTGTTCTTTATTTAAATTACTTCAAAGAATTAGCGTAATTTTTCCTTTGTCTTATACCTCCACAAGAATAATGGAAATAACAATGGCCATTAACATTTCAATAATTGTGTGACATTATTGTAAGAAAGGGTTGCAATAAAAAAGAACAATTTTAATAGAATTATTTGAATACTTATTTATTAAAAAATCACGTTTAAGAATAGAAAACAAAAATAATATTTTTAGGTCTGAA